GCCCTGGGGGGTTGGTGAAAAGCTGGCTGCTGGCAGTGCCAGGCCTGGCTACTCTCCTGAGTGATTGTGTTCCGAGTAACCCGACCTCGGAGTGGGCCGAGCCGACATTCGAACCTCACCTCACCCCCAGACCTGCCTTAACCCTTCAGATACCAGAGCACTAGGCTGTGGATTGGCGTGTGGTTGCTTTTGCCTTCTAGATATTTTTTTCATCTCCAAGGCAGGTCAGGAAATACTCTGGCATCGAATTTCAGGCGTTAGTCAACCTCGCCGTCTGATCCTTTTGGAAAAATACAACGGCTGGACAGGTGCTCCAAGTTGTGTGGCCTTGGGTGGGTCTTTGCCCATCTTGGGGTCTTTCTCCCTTGCACATTCTGAAGGGGACGTGATTGGCTGTGGAAAAGTCTCTGACCCAGTATAGGGCATGTCCCCTCTCAGTTTGCAAAGCATCTCCAACCACCTCCTCTCTAGCAATGGAATTGCTTCAACTTTCCCCAGGTCTCTCTGACCCTTTGACTGCCAGCCCCATCATCCAGAAGGAAGACAGGTGGGGATTAATAATAGCTGTGATTCGTTGAGCACCTGCTATGTACCAGGTCACGTGCCAGGTCCCTTGCACACGCTCATGCCTTTCACTTAATCCTCATCATCCTGCCAGGTGCCTCTATCCCTAGTTACAAAAAGAGGAAACTGAGGGTTCAAGATGCGGAATAAGCCCCCAGACTCATAGAGTTTTGCTTATGAATCTGCCTTTGCAGGTAACCACTCTAGCGGAGCCTTCCTTACTGCCGAGGTGGAGAGTCCTGGCTGTGGCCCCCAGGTTGTGCTCATGCTGGGGGCTATCTGACCCTTCAGAAGGGGGTTAGGGGAAACAGCAACAGTATTGATGGTCCCCTCTGGAGATCTCCTGCCAGGATCATTCTGGGGGGTTTAGTTATGGAGCCCAGGGTGCTCATTAACGTTCCCGCTCCCAAAATATGGCATACCCCGTGCCCTCTGGTCTCACCTCCTAAAAGAAGGACCGAGTGTGTCCCTGACCCTACCTCCCCTGGGGAAGAGTCAGGTAGGGGAAGGTTCTCCTCCCACTTCGTACCAGTTCACAGTTAACCAAGCCCTAACCTTGAACTTCTCCCCGGTGCCCCAGCCAAGTTTCTGTTCTTTTGTTTAAGCAATATCACTTTCCACTTTGTTTACTCCCTGGCCAGGGGAAGGGGTGCCCTGCAGCCCTGGCCTGGCAGTGTGTGCCGTGGGCTCTGAGGTTGGGGTGGAGGTGAAGCGTGGATGGCAGTGAAAAGTTGGGATGCGGCCAAGACATTGTCTTGAGGAAGAACGAGGACTGAATCTCAGCTCTGTCGCTTTCTAGCTCTGTGACTTCGGATGAATAACAACCGAACCTCAGTTTCCTGCAAAATGGGTAGAACACCCTACCAGTTTGTGCCAACAAAATGAGCTCGTACAGAGAAGAACCCGGCTTGGTGCCTGGCATGCCGTGCACACCTGTGCTAGCCACCCAGCCCCCATGCTTGTCCTGGGTGACAAAAGCTATAGAACTTTGGGGCAGGGTCAGTGATCTTTTCCTAGCTTCATGCCTACAGCCTAAGGACTGGATGGGGATATATATATGGAGTGACAGCTACTGCCTGTGGACCTCCTGAGACCCTGAGGGGGCAGCCAAAACCTTAGAAGGGGGGAGGGAGGACAACTCCAGCCCGAGCACCAGGAGACCTAGGTTCTAAGTCCAGCTCTGTCGCCAGCTGCTCAGGTGACCTTGGCAGAGCTCCTTGTCTTTTCATCTGTTTGCTGGGTTATAAGATGAGACACTTGGACTCTGTGGCCCCAGAGACCTTCTGTTGGCAGGTGTTAGTCTCTTTAGAACAAAACAGCACCTACCCGCTCTCCTTTCCATGGAGAATGTGGGAAGCACCCAGCATTTCTGACCCCAGGGCACCAACCCCAGGGGTGCACCAGCCACAGGGCCAGCAGGGTCCGTGAGACCCAGGCTCGCTGCCTTGTTCCCCTGGCAATTTCTGCTGTGTGTCTGTGAGAAGGGCAAAGACACAGGGAGACCCAAGAGTCGAGAGAGGATGCCTGTGCGTGCACACACATGTGAATACACGTTCCCTGGGCAGGGATGGGGTGAGCTGAGGAGAACAGACCACATCCTTAGCTGGGAGCAGGGTGGGGTCCTTCTCTGGTCAGGGCTGGGCCTGGCTGCTGGGTGGCCTGGTTCTTCAAAGCCTCCCCAGACTGAATGGGCCCTGCTGAAAAGAGGGTGGGGGAAGGGAGGGCTGTTGGCACCCCCACGCACACATATAAAGGGATGATTACCCACAAGCCCCTGCAGTGAGGTCCTATCTTGCTGGCCTAGTCTTAAAGGGCTCCTGCCCACTTGGGAATTTCCATGTTCTCAAGGGTCATGGGCAGAGAAGGAGCCAGAGAGGGTGCTTCTGGAGTTGAAGAATAATTTAATTTCCTGTTTCCTCTTACCAGCACACCTCACAATTCTGCCAGGGCACCTTGACCTGCTGGAGAGGGCCCCGAGGCTCTAGGATGCAGCCTTTAGGGACCCCATCCTTTTAGAGACGGGACAGCCCTAGGAATTAATCCGGCTCAGCCTCAGTTTTGCAGATTTGGCTGCAAGATTGCCATACCCGCCTCCTTCGTCTTCGTTTCGCCAGTGTACCACGGAGGTAGTTCCCATCCACCAGTCCGTGTGCTAACCCACTAACCCACGGGGGCTTTGAAACACTCCAGCACTGAAAGGCAGGAGACGGAGCAACATTCCATGGCACCTGGGATGAGAAGGGGGAGGGAGGGTCTCAGCCCGAGGCAGCCCCTGTTGGGACCCCAGCCCCCGTCTCGAGGACTTGCAGCTCTGACTCCCACAGCACAGTCTGGTCTCAGGTCAGCTCAACAAGTGGCCGTAGCGCCATCTTTCCCTCCTGGGCTGGTTTGACCTCCACTGAAGAGGGCTTCTTGGGTAGGAGGGCACTCTGTGCACGTGTGTTTATACGTGTGGGTTTATGTATATGTGGGCAAAGCCTCAGGGAACCCATGCTTGGGTTCTGGTCCAGTGTGGCCATTTTCTGCGTTTGTGAATTTAGGCAAGTGACTTCACCTTTCTGAGGCCCCTGCCCCCGGCCTCTGCCCCCTTTCCACTTCTTTAAAAAAAAAAAAAAGATCTGTTAGGAAAACCACTTTGTGCTGAGTGCTCAGCTAGGTAAGCCACAGAGGTCCTGCTCTCAGATTCTGAGCCCCAGAGAAATTTGCAACAGGAGAAGAGGGTAGGAGCACAGGGACCCGCCCGAGGTCCTGGCCCCTTGCGCAAGCAACCACCAAGGAACTTTAGTTCTGAGCTGCCAAACCAAAGCCACGGGCACGGGCTGTGTGCGGGGGCTGGAATTCCAACCCCAGAGGCTCAACAGCTCCTGATTCCCAAGTCATGAAGTCATCCCTAACCAGGGCTTAACCCCTTCTGCCTCCCCACCCCCATGTGCCAAGCGGTCAGCAAAAATTCCCCCCTCCTGCAGGAGGTGCGGTGCCTCCCCACTGCCTTCCTCCCAGCCTGGCCCTGCTCCCTTCCGGAAATCCAGCACATGCCCTCGAATATGCGCCCGTGGGAGTGGAAGAGGGCCTGACAGGCTCCACCTGCCTCTGCCGGAAGCCAGTGGAGGCGCCTGGGCCCTTCCCTGCGATGGTGACCTTGTCTTAGGAACCAACATGCCTTCTCGGGCTCCCCGTCTCCCTGGCCGTCTCCAGCGGGCTAAGGGACAGCCTGTGGGTCAGAAACAGAGACGGGGCCTTTCCCTCTGTGAGCTGTAGAGCTGACTCGCTGTGTGAACTTGGGCAAGTCACGGGCTGTCTGGGGCGATCTTCTCTCCGGTTCCATGAAACGAGGGAACAGGACATCGCTGACCTCCTGCAGCTAGGGCTCTGGGAAAGAAGGTGGGGAACTGTTGGGGAGGGGTAGCGTTGAACTTAGTAGAAAGCCTAACCCTCTGGCAAATAGTAGACACTTTAATATTTGAATTAAACACTGAAATCATGAACTTGGCCCAGGGCTGCTGTTCTGTGGGCAGCCAGACCCCCAGCCAGGGGCTAAGAGGAAGGTGGAGGGCATGTCGAGCACTTTCTACCCTCTTGAGCGCTGGGGGTGGAAGCAGAGTAGGACCTTGAGAAGGTTCTCTGCCTCCCTAGATCTTTGTTACTTTCCTTCTAAAAGCTTCTTGGTCCGGGTGGACCTAAGATTCTGCTGTGACCAGGTAGGTCCCCATGGCGTAGGTAGGGGCTGAGTGATCCTTGTGGGTCCTGGAGTAGATGGTCCGTGAGGGCAGGACTGTGCCTCTCCGTGTCCTGCACAGTGTTGGTGGCAGAGCAGACAGCTCTGTGGGAGCTGTTGGGAAGGCTGAAGACAAAAGTACATGTGTGTGCTCGTGAGTCACTAGGTCTGGGTGACGCCCTGCCCTGAGGCTGTCCTGGGAGATGCGTGAGCCAGCCCTGCCTGTCCCAGGCAAGTCTGACTCAGCTGGGAAAGGCGTCCCAGAGCCAGCAGCCCTCTGCTGTGGGTGAATCAGCTACAGCAGTGTCCCAGAGCCCCTGCACAGTGGACCCTGTGGCCAGCCTGTTGAAGGGGGCGAGGAGGGGGGAGGGTGCTGGCTCTGAAGTCAGGTGACCCGACATGAAACCCTCACTCCTCCCTCTGCTACTTGGGTCACCAAAATAAAATGCTTAGTAAATAGCACCTAGTACTATATTTACATTCTGGTTATTACCACCTTTATTAGCCCAGAATGGGAAAGAGACTTGCCTAAGGTCACACAGCAAGTTAGGGGCCAGGAGGAGTCCAGGACTCAGGACTCCGGGCTCTGGCCAGGTCCCCTTCCAGCACCTCAGTTTACCTTCTCGAATGCCCATTTTCACTGGGTATTTTGGGGCTTGGGGGTTGTTGTAGACCATTTAGGGGCTATTGGCTGATCTGTCTCTTTTTTTTTTTGCCCTAGATCCGAGAGACTGAGGTCATCGACCCCCAGGACCTCCTGGAAGGCCCGTACTTTTCCGGACCCCTCCCGGACGATGAGGACGTGGGGGTGCCCGGGCAGGACTTCGATGACTTTGAGCTGTCTGGCTCTGGAGACCTGGGTATGGAGGCCTGGGGCACGGGGCTGGAGGGAATGTTGACTCTCCTCCTGGGATGGTGACCACGTTTGTGTAGATTTTCCTAGAGTGCTCCTCCTCGCTTAAATAAGAGGGAGCAACGTAAGTGGATCAGCCATTTCCATCGCTGAGACCCTCCCTGAGCTGGTTGTTTGTAGTTCTAGGTTTTCTGAGCAGCAGCCTGGTCCTGTCCACCCAGGGCACAGTGAGAGTGGGGTGGAGTGGGGAGCACTAAGTGTTTTCCTTCCTTTGGAAAGAAAAAGACCTGGGGCCCTACAGGGGAGGAGGTGTCGGTGGGAAACCATGAGCAGGCCCCTGCTTCAGAGCTGGTGGGAGTGGGTGAAGGCGCCCGGGCTTCTTGGGGCTGGTCTCCTGTGACTTTCTGGCCCTCGATGCTGGACTAGACAGAGCTACTAGAAACATCCCTGCTATGGGCAGGGTGGTGTCATGATTCAAAGTTTGAGCTTTGGAGTCATGTAGTCCTGAGTTCAAACCACCAGCCTATGGCCTCTGAGCTTTGGTTTCCGAATGTGTAAAATGAGAATAGAAATGACATCACATCCGTGTTTTGGGCACTGGACTCTAATGTTTTAATATCGCAACTTCTAATATTTCATATTGCGATCTTGCTTTCTCAAACGAGTCCCCTGGGGATCTTGTTAAAATGCAGATTCTGGTTCGGTGGGCCCTGGACTTCTGCATTTCTCACCAGCCCCCAGGGATGCTGTCAGTCCCTGGATCCGCCCTTTCCTGAGCCAGGTGTTGGAGTGGACAGAGCCAGGGAGGCAGGTGTTAGGAGCCCCATTTTACAGATGCGGAGGCTGAAGCTGGGGTGGAAACAGTCACTTGTAAGCACTGAGCTTATACATGTAGACTTCCAGCAGCCATGGCTGAAAAGGGGTCATTTATCTGGGGGTGACTGATCTCACACTCACACAGCCTTTCTGACCTTACAGATGACTTAGAGGACCCCAGGGTCTTCCCCGAAGTAATCCAACCCTCGGTAAGTAACCGCATGCCTTGCTTCTCCCCCTGCCCCTCTGTGACACCCATTGAGAGGGGCAGAATAAGAGAGGGTCTGACCTCACACTCTGCAAGAAGGCTTTTATTTATGACCCTGGGCTCCTCGGGGACGGGCACCACTGTGGGCCATGGGTAGGCCACCCTCCCTGCAAGGATCATCACTGGCAACACTTAGATGTGTTTCCAGCCCCTTTCCTGTGTTTTTATAGGTATTTCCCAGGATGAATCTCAAATGATACACACAGTTCTGTGTACTGCATTTTTCACTCAAAGTGGTCATGAGTATGTCCCCACATAATTAAATGTTCTTTCTGTTGTTTTTAGAGGCTGCATAATTAGAGTTCACCCGACTCCCCTGATTGATGGAAAAGTTGTTTATAACATTTTGATATTCTGAAATTATAGCATCACAGCAAACATCTGAAACAAATTTCTGATTAGCATCTTAAGACAGAGTCCCGGAGGCAAAACTGCTGCCTTAAAGGGCAAGCAACTGCGCGGTTTGGCCAGACCTTCCCTCCAGAGCGGTTTCTCTTAGAAAACCCCCGAGCAGCAGTGAGTGTGGACACCTGCTTCCCGGTTCCCCCGGCCACACTGTTCATTCCCACTTTGAAACAGACCTACTAGAAAAGTGGAGGGAAGGATTGGACGGCACAATGATCGAGGTTGTGGCTGATTTCTGCGCCAGGGCCACATGGTTCAGTCACCAAGAAGCAGAACCAGATTCCCCACCTGCCCAGGGTCTCTCTCCAAACTCTGATGATCTTTCTCTTCTCCTCCCCATCCAGGTGCCCTTAGATAACCACATTCCCGAGAGGGCGGGGCCTGGGAGCCGGGTCCCCACGGAACCCAAGGAACTGGAGGAGAACGAGGTCGTCCCCAAGAGGCTCTCGCCACCCCTCGAAGGGAACGAGGATGTGTCCAACAGGGTGTCCATGTCCAGCACTGCCCAGAGCAGCAGCATCTTCGAGAGAACAGAGGTCCTGGCAGGTAAGGTCCCTGCACCTCCAAGAGGGGGCGGGCTCAGTGGGAGGTAGTGCTGCAGGCAAGGACACTTGAGTCTTTGGGGCTCCTTGGTGGCCCTTCCTTGCAGCCACATTCAAAGTATCCCACCTTGAAGGACTACACCTCCCTGAGGTGGGGGGGGAGAATAATCGCACATCAAGTCTTCTAAAGAATAGACAAACGAGTCATTCCCTTGCCTGAAGTCCTTGCCTCTTATTTTGAAAGCATTTTCACCTCCTTGGTTTGGTACCTAGGGAGTGAATTATTAAAAGTCAACAATCTTTGAAAACCTCCCTTGAAAGTCCAGACCCTCCTTAGGATTAGCTGGCTTCCCCTCCCCCTCCTCGTCGCTTGACATTCTCTGACCTCGGCTGAGAAGCTTTTGAACCTCAGTGGATGAACCTCAGTTTCCCCCTCTGTAAATGGGGACAGTGAGACCTCTTTGGGTTGGTATAATGACTCCATGAAAAATAGAATCTGAAATAACTAGGCAAACTGTAAAGGGCTGTTCTGATTGACTAGTATGATAGGTTCACCTACCATACAAGGTCAAGGTGAGAGGCAACAAGGGTTTGCGATCCCAAAGGATAGCTATGCGGGAAATCTGATTCAGGCAGGAACCCAACTAGAGTTCCGATTAGGAGGTGAAGATAAGGGGTATTTATGAGAAAGGGAAGGGGAACTATGACATGAATAGAAGGAAGGAATTCCTACGGGTGTTGCATAAGCTAAGGAAGCAGATAAACTAACAGAGGGATGCTAATTATAAAGAATGTCTTTCATATTCTGTCATGATGTCTGCTTTCCTGTTATCTTTGCAAACGCTTGTTGGGAATGCAAGGCTACTGCTCTAGGCCAGTCCTTCCAAAGGTTGTTCCGCCCAGTTTGAACCTCTCGAAGGTTCGAAGGTTCGAGGAGGAACACCTGCAGGGCAGTTCCTCTAGGCTGGCGGCTCCCACTCCATTTTGAAGTGGCTCCGCTCATCCTGTTTTTCACAAATGTGTCATTGAATCTGCATTGACCCTTCACAGTAGGTGGCACACGGGGGACCTTCATGTGACAGACTGAAAGCTGAGGCCTAGGGTGGTTCAGTGGGTGGCCTCAGGACAGAGCCGTGGGGTCCTCGACTGTGTCGCGCTGCTGTGGGGGGAGCTGGGTCCCAGGGTGAGGCTTTGGGAGCAGCTGCCAAGCCTCACTGGACCTTCAGCTGGGCTGGTGACTGGCTGCCTCCTTCCCTGGCAGCCTTGGGGGTTTCCAAAGCTGGGGGCATTTTACAGGCCAAGGGCCAGCCAGTCTGGATGAACCAGCCTGGGCAGCGGGCACTCCAGGCCCAGGCTGAGTAACTCCTGTCTCCTGGCAACCACCTGGGCCAGTAGCGGCCAGAAGGCTCGAGGTACAGGGAAGGAGCCCTGTGTCCTCCCTGCGTCTGGCAAGTGAGGCTCCTAGAAGTCTAACCCCAGGCGACTTGGGGCCCATCTCAGCCCTGACCCCGGGTCCCTGGGATCTGAGCTAACATTCTTTGTACTTTTCCTTCACTACCTTCTGTGTGATGGGGGTGGGGTAGGGGTATTTTAAAGCTTCCCCCATCTTTCTCTAACCACAGAGTTTCACTTTCTGCCCCACATGTGGGGTTCGTAGAAGGCTTTGCTTTAACCAACAGAAGGGTTCGGTTCTTCTTTTTCTAAAAAGGGCTTTTTCTTTAAAACAACTGATCTATTCCAAGGAACTGTTTCTTATACATGGGGAAGCTGCCACCCCATGCCAGAGAAGGCAAACCGCTCGCCGTGGCTCACATAGCCAGAGACAGAACCGAAGACAGGTGCTCGCTTCAATCTTGCGGTAGAGAAGGGTCTGAGCACGTGATCTTCGTGTGAAGTGCTGTTGTTGAGCTAGTTGAGGCGGGACCCTGCCCTCCCCCCTTTCCAACAGCACCTGGGAGTGTATCAGGTGCTTGCCATGTGCCCTGGGATTCGTGTGCCCCCCTCATTTGAGTCCCCACATCGACCCTATCAGATGGGTATGGTGATCGGTACTGTTCCAGGGAAGGAAACTGAGGCTCGGAGAAGCCAAATCACTTGTCCAAAGTCATAACACCAGAAGGTGGTGGGCCTGGCATGGGAACCTAGGACTGCAGTCACTTCTGAGACTGCACTTGAACCTTGACCTGTGGGAAGTCCCAGCACAGACCTGCCAGAGGGGGTCATCGGAGGGAAAGGTGAGGCTGACAGACTGGAGTTGGTACCTGATATTCTCTTTTCTTGTCATCTCCAAAGTGGGCACTTTGTGGCTGCTTTGTCGTAGAGTTTTAGCCAAGAAAAACCTTCCTCGGCTCCGGTGCCTCCGTTCTCTGCACAGCCTTGGAGTGTGTGCAGGGACGGAGAATTAATCTTCTTAGCCTGAGTAAGTCCGAATTAGGGGACTCAAGCTGCCACAGAAAGGGTTCTGCGGGACATCCCTGCCCTCCACAAACGAGCCATTCCGGCCTCCTGGCGGAGAGCAGGGACATCCGCCCGAGTGGGAAGGCCCCACGTGTGCCTGACACTGGCCCGGTGTCCGTGGGCTGTGCCATTCACTGCTGTGCCAGCCCAATTCAGGGTGCCAGGGCCTCGGAGAGAAACCACGTGTTTACAGTTCATGAGTACTGAGCACATGCTATGGGCTTCTCAGTGCTCTAAGTGGATTTGTGTATTTGATTAGGACACATGGATGCGAAAGGTACTGTTATTTCCATTTTGCAGTGAGTGAGATGAAGGAGCTTAAGGAAACACAGCTGGGCAGTGGGAGGGTTGGGAGGGGAAGCTGGGCCTTACCCAGTGATCATAAATCGCCATCTGCAATTGTCTAGAACATAGTAGGGTGGACATGACAGTGTGTGGCACCTGTGTATGGTCGTGTATACCTGTGTGTACACAGATGCGTCTGCCTATCTATAGGAAGGTACGTGTACAGGTGCACACAGGGACAGCTAGAGGACCGCGCGATAAGTGTGTGTCTACGGCCATTTCCACAGCCTGCAATTTTGCTTGCTTCTGGCTCCGTTAGGGCTAAGCTGCCCCTGGGAAGTCGGCTTGGTATCTGGAAAGAGCTGGGCTTTGGGCTCCGACAGATGTGGGTTGGAATGGTGGCTTTGCCACTCTGTCCCTACGGTCGTCAGTGACGGGGGAGGGTGCCCGAAGTCCCCAGGAGACGCTCTCACCTCGCTGTCCCTCTTCCCTCCAGCTCTGATCGTGGGCGGCAGCGTGGGCATCCTCTTCGCCGTGTTCCTGGTCCTGCTGCTGATGTACCGCATGAAGAAAAAGGACGAAGGCAGCTACGACCTGGGCAAGAAGCCCATCTACAAAAAGGCCCCCACCAACGAGTTCTACGCCTGAGGCTTCCTCACGGGCACCAGCTTGGACTTGAGGGGGTGGGAAGCCACGGATTGTGGAGGGTGGACTTTGGGGCGGCGGAGGAGGGCAACCTAACACTGACCTGTCAGCACCTTCAGCTCTGATCACGTCTTAAGGGACAAGAGAGATATCACCTCCTATTCCTGCCTGCCTCGGCTTGATTCTCCATGGTCCCAGCAGGAAAATGAGGTTAAACTTGGCCTTTCCAAAAACAAGTCTAAGATTGGATTATTTCCTCATCTTCCAGTTTAGCATCTAGGCCCTGCTTAGAGCCTGTACTCTGTACCGCAGGCCGACGCTCTAACCGCTGAGCCAAACCGGCCAGGGCTAGAGCCTGTACTGACCATGCTTCATCCAGATCCCTTTGGAAACTGTCCTGTGAGTCCTGCCGGGGGTCTGTCCCCAGCACCTCCCTTCCTCCCTCCTCCCTACAGCCCGTCCCTCTGCCAGGAACTGGGAGAAGGAGCTAGAACCATCGTACCTTGAGATGTGTCCAGCAAAGGGCACTGTGTCCACACTGCAGGAGTCTGTGGTGTACCTTGGGCCACTGGGCTCTTTGCAGTGACTTTTGGAAGTCAACTGTTTTATTTGGGGGGAGAGCTGAAGGTTCATACCGCAGTGGGTTTGTAGAATATTTGTAAATCTATTTTTAGTGTTTTTTTTTTTTTTTTAACCGTTCATTCCTTTGTGTAGAGTCTCTGCCTGGGCAGGAGCACACAGGTGCCTGGGCGCGCTCTGCTTGTGCGGTTCCATCGCTCCTGCTACGTTTGTATTTAATGGGTTTTTTTTGGGGGGGGGGTTGTTCGTTTTTATTTCTCGAAAATGAGAGAAGAGCTGGAGATATGATTTTTATTAATTTTTTTTTTTTTTACTATTTATAGCTTCAGACAGGGCCTCGCTTTTCTCTGTTTCTTTACATCCCCTCCCCGTTTTATAAAGTGGACCTCACGCCCTCTGTTCGGGACTTCGACCCTTTCCGAAGCTGCTTCCTTGAAGTCGCTTTTGCTGAGACATCGTTTTCTAGCCGATCCCAAAATATAATGTAAGCGATGGTGGGATATTTGCATCTCTTTTCTTGTAATATATTATTATTCTTCCTTGGTTCTAGAAAAATAGATACATATATTTTTTCAGGAGATAGTGTGGTATTTCCCATTTGAAGTTGGCTGGGCGGTTGAGTGAGTGGATCTTTATGTGGCTGAAGGGGGTTTTGCCTCTTTCTCTGGCCCAGTTCCTGGTGCTTTTCCATCGGGCTAGGGTAGTTGAGGGTAGATAGTTCTACCTTCCTTCTAGCTTCTGCTTTGAACCCAGCTGGTGTTCCTTCGTGTCTCCAAATTTAAGAGAAAATTGGAGAGTTGTGCTAGCCAATAATGCAGTAGCCACCGGCCACAGGTGGCTGTTTAAGTCAATTAAAAGGATATAACATTAAAAACCCATTTCTTGGTTCCACTGACCACATTTCAAGGGCTCAGTTGCCACGTGTGGCCAGTGGCTGCCGTGGTGGGCAGGCAGGTGGAGACCATTTCCATCTGTTGGAGAACTGCTAGAGAACTAAGCTGGATTCGCAAGTCACAGCCCCAGCTTTGCTGGGGTGACCTTTGTCTCCCTGGGCAGAGGAGGGGCTGGAGAGGGCTGACGGGGCCCTCGCCCTGGAGCCTGTTAGCTGTGACCTTCCCTTCCGGAGAGGAGAGGCTTGGTGGCTTAGCCTGGGCAGGCTGCGTCTTCTGACCCCACTGGCTGGGGTGGGGGGCATCCGCCTCACTTCCTGTACCCCACAACCCAGGGTTCCCAGCTGGCTGGGTCCTGTTCCCACCAACCCCCACCCCACATCCTTTCCTCTGGCTATGTTGGAAGTGAGCCCCTCTTGTAGCCCCCTCACACAGTTGTCTGTTACTGATTTTTTTTGATAAAAAGATAATAAAAACATACTTTCTAGATCGCCTGCCTCTGTGATTTTTTTTAATGAATTTATTTGTATTTATTTCACCATATTGTTTCCTTTTTTGTTTGTTAATCCTCACTCGAGGATACTTTTTCCATTGATTTTTTTTTAGAGAGAGTGGAAAGGAGGGAGGGAGGAGGGAGCGAGAGAAACATCAATGTGAGGGAGACATATTGATTGGTTGCTTCCCTCACGTGCCCCGACCGGGGCTGGGATCAAACCTGCAGCCCTCCGTGTGAGCTCTAACCACTAATTTTAAAGTTCCTACGAAGTCCTCCTTTTTGGGCCGGTTCCCTTGGCTTCGGTGGAGCCTGAGATGAATGCCCTGCCCAAACGCCCTGTGGGGAGGAAGATAGCAGCGGCGGAGACGTGCGAAGCCAGGAGAGAGTCTGGAGAGCGGGGACAAGTGACAGCGTGCCCGCTGCAGCCACAGGGCGCAGCCCGCCTGCCTCGCTTTGTTTAGGCGGCATCGTGTTTAAAAAACAAATGTACACAAGTCCTTGGATTAGTTGCCAACTAGAAACGAGGCTGTTTCCCATAATAGTCTAGATTCCTCACTTCTCTCGGGGCTAAGACTTGGCGACTCTCGGGCAGCACGGCGACCATTGGGAGCTGCTGTCGCGGGAGCCGTCTGGACGTGGCTTCTCTGCCTTGCCAGTCTCCACCAGCTCCGCGCATGTCACCTCAGCGGGCACTGTCATCGGCGGTGCTGAGGTGGGGAAGATCCTTTTTACCAAGACCACCGCCAGCAAATCCGGTCCAGGCTCTACCCCTGAACCCGCTTAATCACCACAATTCCACCAAGTGGGTGATGTTAGCCCCCCATTTTATAGGTGGGGAAACTGAAAGGTTAAATAACTTTCCCAAACTGACAGCTACCAATGGCAGAGGCGGGATTCAAACCCAGGCAGGCAGGCTGTAGAGTCTGCTCATAACCGCACCATCAGAGGGTTTACGTCACCAGGGCCCCTTCACTGGGGATGCTCAGGCCCCACGAAGCCCCTCTGAGGTGATGAGTCTGGTCTCAAACCCCTCCCAAGACCCCTGCCACACAGTTTTTTCTGAGCCCCGGGACGCTTAGTGGGGTCTCTGCCCCCTGGGACTTGGGTCTTGCAAAAGCCCTCGTATCCGTTCCATCTGTGCTGTCCAAACTGGCTGCTGAACACATGTAGCCACTGAAACAAATTAATTAAAATGTAAAGATGAAACTGTGTTCCTCAGGGGCACCAGCCACATTTCCGGGGCTGTTCTACTTGGCAGTGCAGATACGAACACTTACTCGGCGAGGAGTTTCTGTCAGGGCTACGGGGGTGGTGTGAGACCTCTGGGTGTGGACGGCAGCTTGCACCGGCTGGTACCTTGTGCTGCGACAGCCCACGGGAGGAAGGTCAGAGCCTGGGGCACAGTAAGTGCTTGAAAAGCGGCACTTGTCCTCACCAGCACCATCTTTCAGGAGAGGCATTAGCTCCAGGAGGCCCGAGTTATCTACTTGTAGAACTACCCTTGGACTTGGTGGCGTATGGCGGCATGACTATCTCACAGGGTCTCCTTGGGCCAGGAATTTGGGGCCTGCTTAGCTAGGTAGTTCTGGGGTCTCATGAGGTTGTACTTGAAATGTTGGGCAGCACTGTGATCATCCAAAAGTTTGACAAGGCTGGAGAAGCCACTTCCAAAATGGCTCATTGGCATGTCTGCCAGGTTGGGGCTGGCTGTTGGCAGGACAGTTCCTTACACTGTGGACTGCCATAGGGCTGGTCAAGTGTTCTCGTGACATAAGGATGGCTTTTTCCATCAAATGATCCAAGAGAACCAGGTGGAATCCATGATGCCTTTTTAAAAATATATATGTTTTTATTGATTTTAGAGAGAGGAAGGGAGAGGGAGATAGAAACATGGATGTGAGAGAGAAACATGGATCGGCTGCCTCCTACACGCCCCCTACTGGTGATTGAGCTGGCAACCTGGGCCTGTGCCCTGACCCGGAATGGAACCTGCGACTTCTTGGTGCATGAGACGATGCTCAATCCACTGAGCCACACCAGCCAGACCCATGATGCCTTTTATAGCCAAGCCTTAGCAGTCACACTCTGTCACTTCCGCAATGTCCTACTGGTCACACAGGTCGGTACTCTTCATTACAAGAAGGGACTACAGAAGGGTAGGGGGTAAGCCTCATTAGAAGCTGTATTAAAGGCTGGTGACTTAGCCCTGGCCGGTTTGGCTCAGTGGTTGGACCGTCGGCCTGCGGACCGGAGAGTCCCGGGTTCGGTTTCCGCTAAGGGCATGTACCTCGGCTGCAGTTTGTCCCTGGCCCTGATTGGGGTTATGCGGGTGGCAACCACTCGATGTGTCTCTCTCACGTTGATGTTTCTCTCTCTCTTCCTCCCTCTCTTCCTCCTACTCTATCTGAAGATAAGTGCAAAAATGTCCTCAGGTGAGGATTAAAAACAAAACAAAACAAAACAAAACAAAAGGCTGGTGACTTATAGTAGACCAGACTCGTTGCTGGTCTACCCTGAACAGGGGTTAATTTACCTGGAGAGCTAACTCTGAGTGAAACTTGGACTAATATTATTTCTGAGAACTGGGCAAAGTGAGTTTTGCATGATATTGGGCTATTTTTCTTCCTGTCAACCTTCTGAGAAGCAGAAGCACCTGTGGGGCCTTTCCTTGATGGGGCAACGGAGGACCTTCAGGCCAAGTAAATGTTCCTTTGCCAATAGTTTGGGGAGTGGGATAGGCAGGATCCTAAGATGAGATGGCCCCCAAGATTTCTGCCCCTTGATGTCTACAACCTGTACACGCCCTCCCCCTGGGGGTGGGCAGGACCTGTGAATATGATGGCTGTCACTCCCATGACTAGGCTTCATCGGATGGCAAAGGTGAAGGGATTTTGCAGATGGAATGAAGGTCCCAAACGAGTTGATTTTTGAGTTAGCAAAGAGGGAGATTAGCCTGGGTGGGCCAGATTTAATCAGTTGAAAGCCCTCCCAAGAGGGTCTGGAAACTTCCTGATAAGAGCGAGGCTCTCCTGTTGACTTTGAAGAAGCAAGTTGCCATGAGTTCTAGAGCTACAAGGAAAGAAAGTTTGCCCACAGCTTTGTGAGCTTGGAAGAGGACCCTGCGCCTTAGCAAGACTGCAGCCCTGACTGTAGTCCTTAATTACAGCCTTGGGAGACCCTGAGCGGAAGACCCAGCTAAGCTGTGCTGGGACTCCTGACCCATGGACATTGTGGGACAAGCAGCGTGTGTTGTTTCAAGCTGCCACATTTGTTGCAATTTGTTACGTAACAGAGAGGGCAAATACAAAAGGTCACTTAGCTCCTTGGGACCATCAATTACCACATCTGTTCAATGGAGAGAGTGCAATACTTGGATTGTCTCTAAAAGTGTCGTGAAGTAACAGTGACAGCAGCAAGCCTATATAAGTGGTTACTGTGGGCCGGGCCCTGTTGAAAGTGCTCTACATATATTAATTATTTTATTTCTCATGGCATCTTCTGAAACAAATACTATCATCCCCATGGACAGAAGAGGAAACTGAGGCACGGAGAGGTTAAATGACTTGAACTTGCCAGGCTCACCCAGTTATCACATATCACTTTGACTCCAAGATAGCTATTGTCTGAAAAGGCACTAGATCTGTATTCCTTCATTTTAAGGTGACCCCTCTGAAAATACACATGAGTACTTATTGTGAGGAGTGTATGTATGTACCAGGACAAAACCCACCAAAACTAGGATACCCTCCCCAGGTAAGGTGCTAATGATGCATTTTCAGACCCCAGCCAGTGTTGGGGAGGAGGTTTTGGATCGGTAGGGGCTGGGGGATGAGCTTGGTAGAGTGGTCCCCACTTCAACACTTTATAACCAAAGTGAGTCCATAAAGAGCTTGATACAAGGTTGTGCCTTTCCCCAGAACTTTGCCTGCTCCTCCCATCCCCCACCCCTACCCCAGGTAGCGAGCAGCCAGTTATAGCAGGTGTTTTCTGATTCACCACTGAAAGCATTATTGTGCCACTCCTGCCCCACCTGCCTTTGTCCCTTGGGATCTGGAACAGAGCCAAGCCTGACTGTGGAGACTCGGTTGGTGAGTATGGTCAAGGCTGCCCTTTGCCATGCTTATTAGATACTGTCATTGGTTTCATTTCCCTGAAAACCACTTCCTCTCTCCCGGGCTGTCTTCATGGTCTATATGTCCTGAGCAGCACACATCCTCCCCAGGGAAGGCAGCTGAGAATTTCACCCACATTGCGGTTATGAGTTATCTTTGAAGAAACCCAGCTCAAACCAGAAAGCGAGCTCATTCATGGTGGAACCTCGGGCAGTGTGAGATCTGGTCAGGTGGGAGATTTCAGAACAGAGATTTTGACCTTATTCTCACTATGTGCTCCATCGCCCGCTCCCTGCTCCTTGTAACACACACACTCTACCTATACCTCGCAGCAAACTAAAAGAAAAGTATTAAATATGATTAGGTAGAGAATTAAAAGAAAATCAGAGCCCCAGACAGCATCAGAAGTACTATATAGGATTCAAATCAGGCTCTGTCCTCAACCTGCTCTCAGAGCTTCATGAGCCTTCTCTCCCAGAGCCTCAGTTTCCCCATCTGTAAAAATGAGGAAATGTGGATGGGAGCAATGATTGTCAACCCTGGAAAAGTTCTGATCCTGAGAGCTTGAAAAAGTGTCCCTAACAGTTTAACGACAGGAAAACTCAATTCTCAGGAGTGGAACACTGCCACCTGCTGGTTCTACTTTGCACTTGCAATCTCCAAATACCTGCCAATGCAATGCAATGCAATTTGGTGTTTATTGAGCCTATCTCAATGCGTAGGCATCGTAATGTGCCCTCCAGGACATGCGGCAATGAGCTCCCTTCCACTTGAAGCTCACCGTCTATAGGGAACACTTGACATGTACATAAATCCCTTTGTTCCCAGGAAGGTTTTCCATAAGGCGAGAAGCCTGAAGCCATGGCCTGCTTTTTGGACGTGTGTTGTATGGTCACGGTAGGCCTTGTGCTTAGCAGGGCCCTGTCTTGATTTCATGCTCTGCTGTCACTGTCTTGGAATTCTTAGTAGTTTTCTTAGCACAAGGGGCCGTACGTTTTCTTTTTGCAGGAGGCCCCCACAAATTATGCAACCAATCCTGCCTTGGAGAAATCTTGCAGGTGGTGACATCTGAGCTGGGTTTGGAGAAAAGGGCAGTAGTGGAGGGAAAGGAAAGGAAGAAACCTATTTTAGTGTGGAAGAAGAGGTGGAGTTAGGTGTTAAGCCTCAGAAACTGCGTGGTGTGGGGGAAGGAAGTAGATCAGGGGCTGTGAGGGGGATGGGCAGGGGGGGAACTTGCTGTTCCATGGACTCAGGCTCGGGGCTAGGGGGACCTCAAGGACAGTCCAGCAGCTGGAACTCAGAAGAGAGGCCAGGACTGGAGCTCCGACTTCCAGGAGGGTGTGCAGGTGGGATCAGGGGTCCTAGGGTGTCCCGAGGGGAGTGCAGAAGACAGAGCTGCACGGCTGGGCCCGGGCTTTCAAGCCAACCTAGATTCTTGGCTTCCCACACTTCTGCCTTGTGGAGTGGCAGAGGAAGTCCTTGAGGGCAGGGCTGGGTGGGCCCTTGAGCCCCAACTTCCTGTGTGGTGTGCTATGAAACTCCTCTTAGCCTCCTTGGAGTGGCTGCCTCCTTCAACAGCATCGCAGGCACTGAGCCCAGGCTCTCCTGAGCTGTGCACTCCTGGCGGGGGTATTTCCCACTCAACCTGTGCCCCGCATTCCTTGGCCAGGATTCACTCTCAGGGACCATGAGGGGCTTTGAGCAAGCTTCCCCTCCCCTGTCATAGTGGGGCCAGCCTGCTGATGGAGACTTTGGGGAATCTAAAGAGCAAACCTCTTGGGAAATGTCAGCATCTTCTTTCTCATGAGGCTTTCCATGTTCTGGGGGAGGAGTTTAGCAGGAAACGAGCCCCTCCTCAGAGTTCAAGGAAGGTCCAGCAGGGGGGAGGTGAGAGCCGGAACCAACATTTCAAACCAGTTCTCCCCACTTGGCACCATCAGGGGCGAGGACAAGTAGCTGGCACCCTTAATATCTATGTAGCTGGTTCCAGCAGCCTGAGCCAGGACCCTGCCTGGTTCTTCTGCTTCCCTGTAGAGCACAGACCAGGCAGAGGGTGTGCAGGCTGAGCAGGGATGCGTCGTGACTTAGTCCCTGGGCCCCGCGCAGAGAAGCTCCTCTCTCAGCTGGGTTATTGCCCAGTTGATCGCAATAGTTGTGCCCAGAGTTTTCCTGGGAAAGTTTTATTCTGAGCCTTGTGTTTGCTTCTGGACCTGGGGTGCATCTATGCTTGGGGTAGGGTAACTCATTGCCAGAGCTGACAGGTGGTCCCCACAGCAGGAACAGGGGTCAGGGATGCTAACTTCTTCTCTGGAAAGGTCTCAAATGGCAGGCTCTCTGCTCCATTGAACTATTTTCTTCCTGTGTGTGTGTGAGGGTGGGGTAAGTACATGGGGTTCCTCTCTCCTTTCACTGGTGAGTCATACAGATTAGATTCTGCCTTGGATTGGGGGTGCTGCTAGCACAACAGAGGGACCCCTGATCCTCAGGACTGCATCCACCTGAGCCTGCGAGAGAAGTGCCTGGGGGGACAGTTAGGATGGCACGACCTTCCACTGCCCCAGGCGCCTGCCCAGCCACTAAAGATGTGAGCCAGAGAGCAAACACAGGCAAAAGTCCAGTGCCTGGCTCCAGCCGTAGGGAGTACAAGGAAGGGCAAGTCTTTGTGTTCCAAGGTAGGATCCACTGCTCCAGGTGGCACTTGGCACTCCAGGACAGAGCTGGTACTCGGTCAGGACGGTGCCCCAGGGCTTGAGTGTGTGAGCCCCTGTGAGACACAGAGAGGGAGAAAGACAAAGATGGAGCGATAGGGGCACACAAACAGATCTACAAAGTTACTGCGGGAGAGAGACAGAGATTGTTGATTTAGAGAGTGAAACAAAAGGAGGAGCCATGTAAGACCCCCGGGGCCGGGTTTCAATGGCGTGAGCCTTCTGCTGCCGCGCGGACTGGGCCTTCCCTTCCACCCACAGCCAAGGGGCAGAGGGCAGGGCGTAGGACCCGGGAGACCGGCCGGGCCAGCCTGGGCGCGCCTAAGTCTGGACGAAGAGGTGGAAGTTGGTGCGCGTGAACTCGCGGTGTATGTTCTCCAGGAGCGCGTCGGCGTCGGCGGCGGCGGCGGGCTGGGGGGCGCCGGGAGGCCCGGGCCGCGCGCTGTACTCGGGCGTGTAGGTGAAGGAGAAGGCGCTGGGGTAGAAGAGGCCGTCGGTGCGCACCAGGCTCACTGCCACCGTGATTGGTGTGCGCAGCCAGCGCCAGTCGCTGCCAAACACGGCTACATCGGGCACCACGCACACCAGGGACCGCGGGCTCCTGGGGTGGGGCACCGGGGTCAGGGCTGCAGTGACATCGGTTAGGGCTGATGACAAGCACACTCTTCTCCCCGTTTCCTGGGACCCAGGGGAAGCTCCCATACCTGTACATGGTTTCGGCCTCCACATCCCCAAACCACACCTTGAGCCCAGAGTGGAAGTTCTCCCCGTGGAGCTCCAGCGTGGCCACGTCACCCCCGCCACTCAGCTGGGAAAGGGTGGGACCAGGTGGTGTGGGGGAAGGGTGGCCAAGGGCCTGCTACCCCCCCCACCCCCTCGCGCGCAGTCAGCCCGCCAGGGTCCCGCCGCGCCCCGATTCACCTCGAGGGTGCTGATGAGGGGCACCGGAGTGACTGGCTCCCGGGTACACGCCAGGCTGGTGCTGAAGGAGAATTCCACCGACTCCGTGCCAATAATGGTCCAGCAAGAGCTGTCGTTGAGCAGCGCCCTATTCGCCTCCTTGGGGCAGGCGGAGGCCTGGGAGGAGACCCGAAGGGACAGGCAGAAGCTCCGGATGGTGGCACCAGCGTGGGGGAGCCCAGTAATGCCCGTCTCTGGGTTCTAGTCCCAGGCTTTGTGGTTTACCTGCCCCTTGAGCTTGGACAAGACCTTTCAGTTCTCTCAGAATTAAGTAAGTTTGCTGGGAGCCGGCTCCAAAGGCCTGTCTTGTTAAGATTCTAGAATTCTATTTTTAACATTGTACACTTCTGTACCCTAACATTGTACAATTCTAAGGTTCTTTGGGAGAGAATATTGCTCAATAATGTTATTTTCAACGTGAGTATGATTTTATCCTTCAACATTCTATGATAATCTTCTTTGGGGAGTAATATTGCTTAATAATAATAATAATAATAATAATTTTCCACATGCTACAATTCTATGACTTAAGATTTTATTATTCTAATAGTCTTTGCTCAATATTACTTGAAATTATTACTTATATTTTTATTTACATTCTACAATTTTATTTTTATTGATTTTTTAGAGAGAAAGGAAGGGAGAGAGAGAGAAACATCGATGTGAGAGAGAAGCATCAATTGTCCTGCACACCCCGCACTGGGGATGGAGCCTGAAACCTGAGCATGTGCCCTGACCGGGACCTCTCAGTCCATGGGACGACACTCACTCCACTCAGCCACACTGGCCAGGCTACATTCTATAATTTTTTTTTTTTATTCTCACCCGAGGACATTTTTGCATTTATCTTCAGATAGAGCAGAAGGGAGAGAGAGAGAAAAACATCAACGTGAGAGAGACACATCAAGTGGTCGCCACCCACATGACTCCAACCAGGGCTGGGGACAAACTGCAACCCAGGTAGGTATGTGCCCTTAGCGGGAACCGAACCCGAGACTCTCCGGTCCAAGGGCCGATGCTCTAACTGCTGAGCCAAACCGGCCAGGGCATACATTCTACAATTTTATATTCCAACATTCTATGACTCTAATATTGTTTGGGAAGGATATTGCTCAGCAATATTATGACTATTTTTCTACTTGCTCTGCTTCTGTCTCTACAGCCTCTGAGTCTGGCATTCCCTGGGTGGCGGTGGGCTCGTTACGATGGTGACGGCCTTACATGCTGTGGTTCTCTGCATTCTGACTTCCGAAGATGCCTGGTGCTGATATTCTTGCTTCTCACCTGGAACTGCACCACCTTCTCTGTGGCAAGACATAAGTAGGTACCACCGCCTCCAGGAGGCCCACCGGGAAACTGGAATGCACACTTGTGCAGTTGGGAGATGGGCTCGTCCACATCGAGGAGCGCACACTGTTTGGCTACTTTACGGATGATCTACGACAAAAAGGTGGCAGGAGGTGTGGCGGCAAGGTGACTGGGTGCCCAGAGGCTGCCCTCCCAGCCAGCTTTCTGCTACTCCAATAGCCATGTGGGCGTTGGCAGGATCCCCCCATGCCTGGCTCCAGCCCCACAAAGCAGTGAGTATCCTGGGTGAGAACTGAGTACTGTAGGTGTCTTTATGCCTTGGGTGCTCACTCTCCAGCCTGCCCATGCGGGTCATACCTTCTGCATGGATCTGGAGGGCCCTCCCTTCCCATACCATCGGAGGCAGAGTGATGCCCGTGACGGTGCAGACGAGCTGCACCAGGGAGCCATAGCGGACGTAGCCCTCTCGAGGCGGGAAGTCCCCCTGGGAAGAGTGGTCATCAGCTGGGGGTGAAAGGAAGGAAGAAAGGGCTTCAGGGGGTTCCAAACTTCTGCTCCAAGTTCTGCCCTTCTTGCCTCTGACTCCACCCCAACTGCGCATGGGCCTTGTGGGTAGGTTTGGAATGTGGGGAGGCAGCTAAGGCTGAAGCTTCTCATCTTGGAGGGGTCATTTGTAGCCATCCTCAAAAATGTCTGCCTTCCTGGGATGGGGGCTGAGATGAGGGACCAGGCTGGACACTGGAGTCACAAGACCTTGGACTGGTCACCAAGTCACTGAGACCTTTGGCAAGTCTTTTTGTGTTTTAAAGCCTCAGTTCCGAGGGTGGAGTATACCTTCCTCGAAGTGTTGTGGTGAAGATGGAATAAGCTAATGAATGCGAAGTGTCCAGCCCCACCTGCTGAGATGATTACCCAGGTGGAGCGTGAAGGCAGCCCACTGGCGTGCACTGGCCACGAAGGCCCCATCCTCCACGGAGAGGTAGCGCGTGGAGACCGTCTGGGAACGCAGGCGGTTGAAGAGGGAGACCTTGGAGCCCGAGGATATGCACACTGTGAGGGGAGGTGGAATCAGTGCCCTGCCCTAGCTTGGTCCCTTGCACATGCCAGGCACATCTGTCTCTGTCCCCTGTGCCAGTTTAACTCATATGCCCACTAGCCTAGACACAGTGGGCATTCATTTTTCACAGCCATTTATCTGGAACCTGCCCTAGTCTTGCTTCTGCTCCTGTGCCTGTTCCCTTTTGCTGCCTGGGCATCCTTCAGTTCAATAAATAGAGTTGTCAAGTATTCACTACTGTGGCAGGCACCGTGCTGGGAACTGGGCACCGAAGGGTGAATCAGACCCAGCCTTGCTCTGGAGGAGTTCACCGCCTCAGAGAGGAGACAGGGACATAAGTATAAAATTTCAGTCTGATGTAAGGCCTGGGTTGGGTTGAAGAGGGCTCCCTGGAGGAGGTTATATTCTCAGCTGCAGAGCATGAAGTAGGTAAGAGTGCTTTGGGGGGCTGCACAAGCCGTCCATGTGGTGTGAATGAGCAGTGCAATGTTTCTAGGGCTTGACATTGATCTCTTCCAGCCTATCACACTGGCAGTCACAGTTTTGTTGTCTTCAGATTGGATTTTGACCACCTGGGGAGAAAGCATTGGGTCACCCCCCTTCTCTCCTCACAGTGCTAAGCTCAGTTTATACTTAGCCCAAGTTCCCATCCATTGAATAATAGCTAATGTTTGTTGTGTGTCAGGTACTGTTTTAAATGCGTTATAGGTATTAGTTCATTTGAGCCTCTCAACACTTGAAGGTAGATAATATTATCACTACGTTTAAGACAGCAAATTGCTGAAGATCACGGCTAGCGCAGGGTAGAGCCAGGATTCCAAGCCAGGCCACCCGGCTCCAGACCTGCGCTGCGCCCACCACGCTGTACCACTTGCTCCTCCTCGGCCCTTTCCTGACACCGGGAGTCAGCCAGAACATGGCCTGGCTCTGAGCCACTCCTCAGGGTTTTTGACAGACAGTAAGCAATGGTGAGGAGTAAGAGTTGGGCTCCGGAGTCACACTGACTGAAGTCCAAATCCTGGCTGAGCCACTTCCTAGCTGGTCAATCTTAGGCATGTCACCTAGAATATGACAGGCCCAAATGTTTCTCAGATGAATGGATGAATGTTCCAAACCTCATGTACCTCATCTACAACATGGAAACTGAGGTTACCTCAGAGGGACACAGCGACATCAAATAGGACAATCAATATAAAGTGTAGGAAAGCCAGCCTCCCCCCCCCCCCAGCGAAGGTAGTGGTGGTGGTCACTGTTATTCAGGCATTCCCCCTTATATTCTCAAATCCTCCAGCCCTGGGGTTTGTCACTTGGCACTCAGGACATTTCTTATCTCAAAATGTCTCTTTAATCCGCTATGCGCGTCTGTCTCCCCTGCTAGTACGTTCCTCCAGAACAGACACTTGTCCTTGTTTTATAGAGACCCAGCACCTAGCACAGAGCCAGGGAGAGAGCAAGCCCTAAATAAGTATTTTTAACTGATTTTCCTCTGTCTTCTTATTATCACTTTTAATTTTCTCTAGTTCAAAACCTGCCGGCTGTTTGAGGGGGCCCCAACTCCCCCGCCCCAACACACACACTCAAGTCTGCTATCTGTCCCCTCTCCTCTCTGCCCTTGCTTCTCTAATTTGTCATTCCCAGATCTAAGCCGCTCAGCCAGACCCCGCCCCTCTCGGCTCAGACGCCGCCCCTTCCACTCCGACCCCACCCCTACAATCCCGGTCTCTCCCGCGCCCAAACCCAGCGCTGCAGACTTGACGGCACCTCCCTGGCCTGCCCCACGATCAAGCCCCGCCCCGCTCACGGTCGGTGTTTTTCAGTGACTGCTTCTTCTGCGAGGGCTTCGAGATGACCTTGATGAGGCGGCTGTGGAAGGTGCCCAGCTCCCGACCTCCTCGGAGCACCAGCCGCAGCACCAGCCGGAAGTGCTTCCTCTTATCTGCGTCTGAGATGTACAGGGTCTTGGCGCAACCGAATTCCTACGGGGTTCAGGGGATGGGGCCGGCTCATCTCAGCCGTCCGCCTCGGGATGCGCCGACCGCCCCCAGTTGTCTGACACCCGCCCCGTCGGACGTGACAGGAGGCGGCACAGTCCAAGCTCTGGGTCGCACCCTCCCTGCCGATCGCTTGGCTTCTGCAGGGGAGTAAATGAGCACTCGCCCCAAGGAAGAGGCAAGGATGGGACTGGGACCCCTCCTATGCACTCTCACCCTGGAGTCGGGCTGCTCCTCGAAATTCAACTTCTGCGTCTCGGCGGCGCTGCCGGACGCGCCGTCCAGTCCCATGTAACCGCAGACAGTGGGCCCCGTCTCCCCTGCCAAGTGGGCTGGAAAGGGAGGCCACCGGGCTCTGGGCCTCCTGAAGACCTCAGGTGCCAGGCAAGCCTATGTTTCGCCGCCAGAGGGCGCGGCGAGACTGCGTCTGTGAACCGCCCCTCTCCCAATCCCTGCTGCGTGGTCCCCTACCGAGGAGGGCGACCATTCCCGGAGTCTGTCCTCACCTTGGCCGTGCCCTGGCTTCACCCTCCAGCCGGGACCTGCGAGGTAGACACAGGGCGGGGGGCAGAAGAACCTGTGGAGACATGTAAGCACTGAACTCGTGTATCATCTCCACTAGACTGTCCTGTAGGCATCTCAAGATAGCCGAAACCGCAAATAATTCCCCTCCACCTTTCCCACCGCCCTCCCCAGGCTTCTCCATGACCGTGAACCCCATTAATATCCAAACCTTTCTTTTTTCAATCCTCACCCAAGGATACTTTTCCATTGATTTTTTTTTTTTTTAGATAGAGTGGAAGGAAGGGAGAGAAAGAGGGAGGGAGGGTGAGAGAGAAGCATCTATGTGAGAGAGACACATCAATTGGTTGCCTCCTGCAGGACCCCAACGGGGGATGGGGAGAAAGGGGAACCAGACTTGCAACTGAGGTACCTGCCCTTGACCGAAAATCGAACCTGCAACTCTGTCCGGGGCCCACTCTCTTATCTCTGAGCCAAATGGGCCGGGGCCACTCTGCCTTTAAAACATATCCAGCCAGAATCCACTGGCTTCTTACCACCTGCACCTTTTTATTTGTAAAACCATGAACCAATCGTGTTACTCGTCTTCTTAAAATCTTCCAGGGGGTTAAAATTAAAGTCCTCACATGATCTGGTCTCTGCTTACCTCTCCAGCTTTATTTCCTGCAGTCCCCACTCCCCTTCCCAAACTGCAACCACTCTAACTTCTTTTGTACCTCGAACAGGCCAAGTTGGTACACCTCAGTGTCTGTGCATCTTCTGTTTCTCCTTATTGGAACACGATTCTCCTAGACTTCTTCCTGTCTGGCTCTGTTTTCACATTCAAGTCTCATTTCAGATGTTACCTTCACCTTTCTAGCCAAAGTACCTTCCCTTTTATTTCGATCACGTTGTACTATTCTAGTCCCTTCTAGCTATCGTCAGAATCTTGTTCATTGATTGTGGGAACATTATTATGTGTCTTTCCCACACTAGAATGAAGATGCCATGAGAGCAGGGGCTGTTTTTGTCTTGTTCAAGCTGTATGCCCAGTGCCCAGTGATGCCCAGAGAGCCCGACACATAACATGCACTCAGTTACTAGTTGTTGAATGAAAGTATGCCTGAATGGGTGAATGAGAAAATGAATGGGGACTAGATTCCCAAGAAGGTTCTGTTAAGACCGAAGAGGGGACTATTGGTGGCTGAGGAAAAAGGCCCATGATCGGCCAATAGCCGAGCCCCGAGTTCTCCCCAGGTTCCAAAAGACACTAAACAGGGAGGGGCGCATATGGACAAATGCCAAAGCGACCTGGGAGTGATGGATGAGGCACCCACCTACCGCTTCTCATTTCCGTACGATTTCTGGGCCACCTTGGCGTGCAGGATCCGCACCGTCTGTTCGCACTGCTGCTGTAAGCACCGGCGCACGCCTTCCCTCAGGACAGTGGTGCGCTCTGGGGATGACCTGGGAGGCCCGCAGCAGGGAGCTTCAAGGGGTGAGGTGGCATGGATCTCGAAGCTCGTAGATGGAATGAAATAAAGTTCTAATGGTGCCCCCTCGTGGTCATGGCGAGGAAGTGTTAAGGGAGGGGACGCGTGCTACTTGTGGGCTAAATATTTGGGCTGTGCGGTGCACAATGAGACTTGCACGGAGTCCACTGGGACCATCCAGGCACCGCTCTGCAGGTCTGGCTCCACACCCGTTGGGGAGATGCCCCAGCGGCACAAAGGCCGCACTTGTGTTGGCCTTAGGATGGAGGTAGAATATGCGAGGGCATCTGGTTTTCCCTGCACCCTGAGAGGACCCACCCCAGGAAAGTCTTGATGTCAGGGGGGGGGGGGGGAGCCTTTGCTGGACCCATGGACCAGAGTGCTCTCTTGCCTGCTGGCAGATGCCTGCAAACATAGAAGGGCCCCAAACATGGAAGATCCTGGAATTGGGGGGCGGGGGGGGCGGCATTTCAGTTTATCCATAGTCAAAGTAATCCTCCCTCCTTACTCCCAAGAGCAGGGGCCTGTTACTGTCTCAGCTTTACTTCCCTTGATCACAGAGCCTCCATCCTGTGGAGTGGGCCAGGCAGAGCCTAGGGGCCTGATGGCCTCTCAGGCTGGGAGTTTCAATGGGTGAGGGTGGGTGGGCCCAAGACTTAGCAATTGCAGAGAACATGTAAAGGAGTCCATGGTGGCAGAGATTTGAGGGACCACCAGATGGGCTGGGGAGAGCCATGAACCCTGAGGCTGTCCTGAATCTTTTATCCTCTTCGCAGGACCAGTGTCGGGGACCTCTCCTCACTCCTAGAGGGGGCAGCGGGGGGCAGGAGCCGGGCCGCGCCCTCGGAAGCGGGGCCAGGCAAACGGCGGCCCAGCCGAGCCCCGCTCCGCCCTTTGGGGCTCTCCTCGGGGAAGTGGCTCAGAGGCCTCCAACGCATTCCGTCTGCGGAGGGGGTAGCCGCCCAGCCTCCCGCTGTACCGAATTCCGGCCCAGCAGCCCAAGCCGGCGGCTCCCAGGGTGGCTGGAGCAGGGGGCGCCGCTCTGGCCCCGCCCCGACCCCTGCCAGTGGGAGGGGTCGCAGCCGGCGCTCCCCCTCCCCATCCGCCAGCCCGGGTTAAATGCGGCCGCCGCCTCCACTCGCTCCAGCTGCCTGGCAGTCCCCACCTCGGGCACGCTGCCCGCGCCGTTACCTGCTCCAACTGCCCGGGAGGCTCCGCCCGTCTGCTCCGCTCTGCGGCCGCGCCTCCGAGTTGTCCAGAAGGTTCAGGTGAGTCAAGAGGCCTGGGGGCGCTGAAGGGTCTTCGGGGGAGCAGAAGGCCAGCCAGACCAGGCGACCGTACTTAACCTCGGCAGCACCGCTTGTGGTGCCCACATTTGATCTGCAATGCCCTTCCCACTTCTGTGGGTCCCTTTCCAAACTGAGTTCCCACCAGCAAGCCCACCAAAAAGGGGAGGGGACGTTTTCCGTAATCTCCTCCCTCTGGGACCCCCCAGGAACTGCCCTCAAGGTTCACTCTTCAGCCAGCTCCTGAGGAATTGCCCACAGACCTCTCCTCCCTTTCGAGCCCACTCTCCCACCCTACAGGCATTTCCAAATCTTTCACTTTACGCAGGATTGATTAACCCCTCCAAGGAGCTGTGGGTTCTAGTGTCAGCCTTGTCACCACGTTGCTGTGTGACTTTGGGTGAGATGCTACCCTTTCTGGACCTAGTTTCCTCCTCTGTAGAATGAGGGGGTTGAAAGGAGATGAACTTTGAGGCAGCCGCTATTTTGACTTTCTAGGGTTCCTGGGGTACAGGTAGGGTACCAGGCGAGATGTTTACTCATGCCAAGAGAAGAATAAGGGGGACCTTGATCAATATTTGGGGGCCCAGAGGTTTCTGAAAGTAAGAAAGGGTGAGCGGTGGCAAAGATCCCTTATGCCTTTACCCCCATGCTCCCCAGGGGTGCTGACCTCAGCTATGGCCCAAGCTGGAAAAAGCATTCCACACCTTCCCACCTCCAGTAGCACATCTGGCTTAGTCACCCTCCCGTGACAGACGCTGCCAGAGGGATTTTTGTTCCTCTACCAGGTCTGAAAGGCGAAGGCGGAGAAGATCCGGGAAGGGAAGGCCGCTTAGAGTGAGCTGCAGGCACCCGACCTTGCTCAGAATAGGCCCATTCACGGAATTGGGGGGAGGGGCGGGGCTGCGGTTGGGTTAGGGGCGGCTGGCCCCCTCTACCCAGAGACAGTAACAGACAAATGGCTAATGCAGCTTCAGCATGGGGCGCGGGGGTGTGTAGAGAGCAGAGGGAGTGAATGGAAAGAAAAAAGGTTCAGTGCCTCCTGGACACCAGGTTGCCAGGCAACTCAAAAGGATGAACCGGAGCAAGGAGTCCCAGGTTCCTTTGCAGCTCAGGGGGCCGCCTTCTTGGGCCTCGTTTTTGCCATCTGTACAATGGGAGTCTTTCGTGACTCTCAAGGGGCCTTGTCAGGGGCCTCGGGAGGGAGAGCGCTCACCTGCTGCCCCCACGGGGTCCATGGCCGCGGTCCGAGGCCCCACCGCTCACTCACAGCCCTCTGGGTGCATCCAGTACTGCTTTCCTCAGAACGCTGCGCACTCCTGCTCCTGGGCTCTCAGGCCGGATATATCCTACCCGCCCTTATCTCAAGGCCCCCGGGCTCCCGGCCCGCTGTTTGCTCTGGGCAGGGGCACCTGCTGGGCAGATGTGGGCTTCCCACGGCCACCTAGCCGACCTGGGATGGCGCCCCCTGGTGGCTTCTCCTGAAAGCTGGGGGGAAGTGGCGGTGCCAAGCCTCGAATTCAAGTGCTTGGTGAACTTTGGCCAACGCAGTGCACGCCCCCTACCCTCTCAAGCCAGAGCGCGCGGCCCTCCCGAGGCCTGCGGTTGCGCCATACGTATCTGAATGCACGTGTGTGCGTGTGCGTGTGCGTGTGCGTGTGCGTGTGCGTGTGTGTGTGTGTGTGTGTGCGCGCGCGCCCGAAGGACAGCCACACAGAGGCGCCTTGTATGGAGAGGTTATGGGGAGGGAAAGGGGCCCAGAGGTATGGAATGGCTTCCTTTTCCTCCCTGGGAGACGAGGGCGTGGAACACCTCAGCTTGTCCCCTCGAATGCCTTAGGTTTAGGATTGGATCCTGGCGCAGCCACTTTCTTGTCGCTAGATGTCGGGTAACAGCACTTAAATTTTTTGAGTCTGTTTCCTAATCTGTACAATGGGAACAATAACAGCCTTTCTCACGGAGTTGTCGAATTGTCAAGAGGATTAATTGCCACAATGCGTGAGAAGCGTTTAACACCGTGCTTGGCAGTTAGGAAAACTTTTTCTTTTGAACTTTTTCATATTTTTATCTACTTTTATTTATTGACAGAGCAGTATTCCTTGTGTCTTCCAGCAATCTCACTGTAATAAAATTAATTATGAAAAGATACACAAAAGTAGAGAGATTAGTAAAATAAACCCATGACCCTCCTCAGCCTCTAAGTGCCCATCACCCAGCATGAGAGTTCTGCAAATACTATTGTTTTGCTATTTCCCTTCCTCCCTCCAGGCTCTGACACCTCCGTTCTTTGTCCCCAAAGTGCCATGAGGGGCCTTCCATGCTCACCACTGCCCATGTTGCTGCTCCTTCTCCAGCCCTGGGAAACCCAGCTCCAGTTCGAAGGTGAGCCTGGGCCGAGCCCTGACCAGGGAGGGGAGAGGAACAAAAGCAGGTTTTCTGGCTGCAGCCAGCTAGGCCTACCGGGAGAGAATAGCAAGAGCTTTGGAACCCTCCAGGCTGGGTTCACTGCTTCGCCTCTGGGCCTGTCTCCTCATCTATAGGACGTGGCTTAGAGATAACAAAATTGCACTCATGCAGAATGCCCATTTGGTGTTAAAATTTTTTTAAGTTAGTCAGGAGGCTTCACATAAAAATTCCAATTTGGGACTTTTCTTGAAAAACCCAAGGATCTGCTAATTCGGGGTCCACGTGGCTATATTGGCAACATTTGGTTTCATATACCCACTTTAGGAGGGCTGGGGACTCTGAGTATCCACTGCCCTCCCCTGCCAGTTCGCTCATTTATGTTGCCTGCCTGGCCACTACAGGCATTAGAGTTTGCATATCCCCTCTCCTCTCCCAAATGAATAATACCTCCCCAGAACAGTCCTCAGAGCTGTAGGATAGGATAGAGCTGTTGGTGAAATCTCCTCTTCCAGGCCCTCAGCAAATGCTGGGCCAGTACGTGTATCTAACTTGCATTTACTAGGGTCATTCCTTGTGGGCGCTGTTATGCAGGGATAGTAACATTATGCCCTGGTTTTCCCTGGGTATCTCTGCGGAAATGAGGCTGTGCTGACCTAGGAAAGTCCTTCCTGATCTCCTCGCAGGTCCCAGGTGCCGTACTGGACCCCTGGATTTGGTGTTTGTGATTGACAGCTCGCGCAGCGTGCGCCCCTTCGAGTTCGAGACCATGCGGCAGTTCCTGGTGGGCCTCCTCGGCCGCCTGGACGTGGGGCCCAACGCCACGCGCGTCGGCGTGATCCAGTATTCGAGTCAAGTGCAGAGCGTGTTCCGGCTTGGCGCCTTCTCGCGCCGAGAGGATATGGAGCATGCCATCCGCGCTGTGGTGCCGCTGGCGCAGGGCACCATGACCGGGCTGGCTATCCAGTACGCCATGAACGTGGCTTTCAGCGTGGCCGAAGGCGCACGCCCCCTGGAGGCCCGCGTGCCTCGAGTCGCGGTTATCGTGACCGACGGGCGGCCCCAGGATCGGGTGGCAGAGGTGGCAGCGCAGGCGCGCGCCCGCGGCATCGAGATCTACGCGGTGGGGGTGCAGCGCGCAGACGTGGGCTCGCTGCGCGCCATGGCATCACCCCCGCTGGACGAGCACGTCTTCCTGGTCGAGTCCTTCGACCTTATCCGGGAGTTTGGCCTGCAGTTCCAGGGCCGGCTGTGTGGTGAGTTAGGGGAGCACTGGAGCGAGGCTCGAACTACCTAGATTCCCATCCCCACCTCAGTAAATCCCACCCTATCCGGGTGGACCCGCCCATTCCAGTGTTAGCCCCGCCCACCAGGTAGTTGAAGCCCTCGGGCCTAACACACGCTGTGTCACCTGCCAGTTCCGCCTGCTTTTGCTTAGGTTTTGCCCACCAGGAGCAACAGTTGGCATACCCCCCAACCTGGATGAGCTGTGGTTTACCACAGCCTTAATGTCCAAATCCAACACCGCCCCCAACACAGGAAGCACTGACCCCCAAAGCTGAGAGCAACCTTCCACTCAAAGAGCCATGCTCCGCCCACATGGGCATGACCCCGCCCCCTCGCATTTTAGCTCCTCCTACAAGCTGCAAGGTGTGCTCTCGTCACACCTTGAGTTACTTCACCCACCTTAATTCGGCATCTCTCCACCTTGATTCAGCATCTCTCCACTTCCCTACCTTACCCCTGTGCAGTCCTGCTCAATCCCATTGACACTCAAAGCCAGGTCTCCCTCTTCCGAGCCCATTCACCGGGGCTGCTCAGGCCCTATTCTTCCCAGAGGCCGTCCCACTTGGATCGGCCCTTCTCAGACGAATTATATCCCACCTAAGGACATACTTGATCATGGTTCCTGCCTTTGACTCCATCCGGCTGTCTCTTTTTGGAGAGTTCAGCCCATCTGTTTCCTGATGATTCTACTCTTGTGTGTCCTTAGGAAAGAACCTGTGTGCTGAGGGGAGACACGGCTGCCAGCACCAATGTGTCAGCTCCCCTGGCATGTTCCATTGCACCTGCAACCCCGGCTACCAGCTAGCAGCAGATAACAAGAGCTGTTTGGGTGAGAACTACTCCTGCCCTGCAATCCTGAGCCTTCGGTGGCTCCCCATAGGCCCAGCATCAGCCCAGTGGGTCTGGAAGGGCCTTTGGAAATAAAGTCCAGCTCCCACACTTTACAGGTCTAAGAAAGGGAAAGTATGCGTGGTGTCACACACGTCCTTGGTGGGACCAGGGCTAGAAACCTTGACCCCACATTAAGCATGCTTTCTGCATCCTTCTGTCCACTCATTCAGGCTCATCTCCTACCTGGCTCCTGTATACCTCCCAAACTTGTTTGTGTCTTCTCACAGCCACATCCTTACAGTTTCTGTAACTTAGGCACTCTGGAGTCATCAGTGAGAGTCTCTATACAGCATCACCCCTGCCTCGTACATGCTGTCATTCCTGCTCCTGCATCTCAGCTCATTCTGGGCTGCTCACTTGGACTCTCCTGCGGCTCCTCTCTGCACCTGCAAATCTTTCAAGGCTTGGTTCTTCATTTGTCCCTTCTGAAAAGCTACGGCACACAATGCCTCTGCTTGCAGATTTGGGACTTTCTTTTTCACATGCATGTGTGTCCACTCCTTTCGTCTTAAGGGCAGCTACCGTTTACTGAGTGACAAGTTAATACAAGACTTTGTGCTTGGAGCACTACATATATCCTCTCCCCACCTCGCAACAACCTGGAAAATGATGTCAGCTGGGGGCTTCTTGTTTCTAGAGCTTAGACAAAACTGGCTTAAAGCCCCATGTGATGACCCATGAACATCCCAATCCCTTCCCAAGATCCCCAAGTGCTTATATTCTGTGGTCCCCTCTCGCTCTGAGCTTCTGCTGAATGCAATCAGTGTATGGCTCAACCCCACACATGCTGTCCTTGTTTCATGCGTGTAAATCAGCTTCTTGTTTTACACACTTGTGCATACAAGGGCATGTGTGTATATGTAAGTGCATGCATATGTCCATTTTACTAAAGATGGGAGTAGACAGGAGTGTGAATTACATCTAAGTAAAGCCAAACATACACACACAAAAGGAAACATCCATTCTTTATCATTGAATATTAGGCTCCCTTGACCTTGAAAGCCCTCAGTCGCCCCACTACAAGGGATTTTTTACTTCCATCCTCGACCCACACAGTCACTCATCTTCATACCATTTGTCTTGTTCTTTTCTTTTTCCTCTCTGCATTCCACTTCTTTTCTAGGAACCCCAAATTTTCACATTTTGATGCAGGATAATTCGCCTCCCTCCAGTCCCTCTATTCCAGTGCAGCTCTAGTCCATCTTTGCACGTCTAAACCATCAGATACTCAACAGGGCAAGAGTGCACCTTCCTCAGAAGGAAGTTGTAAATAGCAATTGCTCTCTTCCATTATAACCCCAATTTGCAGATGGGGAAATGGAGGCGCAGACAGGTGAAGGGGCAGAGTCTGGTCCTCTTCTGTTAGTCAGTGAGCATCTTCAGGGCAAGGGCCCTGTCTTCTACAACTGTGGATTCTTGGTCTTATTCTGGCTTAGTAAGGCCCACTCTGGGATGCATCTGGGTCTTGACTTGGTAGGGCCACCTGGCCCAGAGCAAGGAGGCCAATGCACAGAGCAATCACAGATGCCTGGGGACCACCCCAGAATAATTAAATCAGGAACATTGGGAATTGGGGTCCAGGCATAAGTATCTTTTAAAAGCTGCGTTGTCCGGGCTGAGAAGGGCGCCTCAAGGAACACGCCAGCCTCCCCTCTTC